TGTAGCGACCCGGGCGGGAGCCTCCCGGCGGCGGCAGCGGCCGGGCAGCCGAGCGCTGAGGCTCCGTCACGTGTTTTTCCCTCCGAGTGAGACGGCGGCGCGGTCGGAGGGGCAGGCGCGCGGAGCCAGACGCCGCCGCTTGTTTTGGTTGGGGCTCTCGGCAACTCTCCGAGGAGGAGGGGAGAAGTCACTGCAGCGGCAGCGCCTCCCGGGGCAGAGGCGTCTTCCCGGCCTCTTCCCAAACCTCTCCTCCCCGCCTTCCCTGCCGACTGGGGCGAGGGGCAGGGATGAGCCTGGCCCTCCGGCCCGGCCTCGGCTCCTGCTGCTGCCTGGCAGCGTTTCGCGTGGACAAGACTCTTGCTCCGCCCGCCGACATGGGCCCGAACGGGGGCTGCAGAGGACGCGTCCGCGGGCGGCGGCCGCAGCAACAGCCGCAGCGCCGCGGTCTCCGCGATTGAGCTGGTATTTGGGCGGCTGGTGGCGGCGGGGACGGTTGGGGGTGGGAGGAGGCGGAGGAGGAGGCGAAGGAGGAGGAGGGAGAACCCTGTGCAACGTTGGGACTTGGCAGCCCGCCTCCCCCTGCCCAAGGATATTTAATTTGCCTCGGGAATCGCGACTTCCAGAGGGGAACTCAGGAGGGAAGGCGCGCGAGCCTGGAGGGGCAGCGCCAGGACCCCCGGCTGCCGCCTGGACGGCGAGGGATGCATCTTCGCCCTTTCCCGGCTGCGTCGGCGGAGTGGGGACTCGGCTCTTGGTGGATTGGGGCTGCCCTCGCCCAGGACGCACGGCCTCCCCCCCGGGCATGAGACGCCCGTGAACTCGGGTCGGGGCCAGCTCCCGGGCGCAGCCGCTGCGCCCTCCTTCACTGCTCCTCCTGGCGCGGAGGGCGGTGTGAATTCGGCTTCGGCGTTTCTGCTTGCTCCAGCCCTGTTTGCATGTGCGGGGCCGCGGTGTGGAGCCTCCGCCCCCCACCCGCTTGTTTTTCTGCGCCTCCCTCTGCTCGGCAGCGGCGGTGGCGGCGGCAGCATGGCGAGCCCTCCAGAGACCGACGGCTTCTCGGACGTGCGCAAGGTGGGCTACCTGCGCAAACCCAAAAGCATGCACAAGCGCTTCTTCGTGCTGCGGGCGGCCAGCGAGGCTGGGGGCCCGGCGCGCCTGGAGTACTACGAGAACGAGAAGAAGTGGCGGCACAAGTCGAGCGCCCCCAAACGCTCGATCCCCCTCGAGAGCTGCTTCAACATCAACAAGCGGGCGGACTCCAAGAACAAGCACCTGGTGGCTCTCTACACCCGGGACGAGCACTTTGCCATCGCGGCGGACAGCGAGGCCGAGCAGGACAGCTGGTACCAGGCCCTGCTGCAGCTGCACAACCGTGCCAAAGGGCACCACGATGTGGCTGCGGCCCCCGGGCTAGGAGGTGGGGGGAGCAGCTGCAGCGGCAGCGCCTGCCTTGGTGAGGCTGGGGAGGACTTGAGTTACGGAGATGTGCCCCCAGGCCCTGCCTTCAAGGAGGTCTGGCAGGTGATCCTGAAGCCCAAGGGCCTGGGGCAGACAAAGAACCTGATTGGCATCTACCGCCTCTGTCTGACCAGCAAGACCATCAGCTTCGTGAAGCTCAACTCAGAGGCGGCCGCAGTGGTGCTGCAGCTGATGAACATAAGGCGCTGCGGCCACTCAGAGAACTTCTTCTTCATCGAGGTGGGCCGCTCTGCCGTGACAGGGCCTGGGGAGTTCTGGATGCAGGTGGATGACTCGGTGGTGGCACAGAACATGCATGAGACTATCCTGGAGGCCATGCGGGCCATGAGCGATGAGTTCCGCCCTCGAAGCAAAAGCCAGTCCTCCTCCAACTGCTCCAATCCCATCAGCGTCCCCCTGCGCAGGCACCACCTCAACAACCCCCCTCCCAGCCAGGTGGGGCTGACCCGCCGCTCGCGCACGGAGAGCATCACCGCCACCTCCCCAGCCAGCATGGTGGGCGGGAAGCCTGGCTCCTTCCGGGTCCGCGCCTCCAGTGATGGCGAAGGCACCATGTCCCGCCCAGCCTCAGTGGACGGCAGCCCGGTGAGTCCGAGCACCAACAGGACCCACGCCCACCGGCATCGCGGCAGCTCCCGGCTGCATCCTCCGCTCAACCACAGCCGCTCCATCCCCATGCCTACTTCTCGCTGTTCACCTTCCGCCACCAGCCCGGTCAGTCTATCGTCCAGCAGCACGAGTGGCCACGGCTCCACCTCTGACTGCCTCTTCCCACGAAGGTCTAGTGCTTCTGTGTCCGGTTCCCCGAGCGATGGTGGCTTCATCTCTTCTGATGAGTATGGCTCTAGTCCTTGCGATTTCCGAAGTTCCTTCCGTAGTGTCACCCCGGATTCCCTGGGCCACACCCCCGGTGAGGAGGAGCTGAGCAACTATATCTGCATGGGCGGCAAGGGGGCCTCCACCCTGACTGCCCCCAATGGGCACTACATCTTGGCTCGGGGCGGCAATGGCCACCGCTACATCTCAGGAGCTAGTTTGGGCACGAGCCCAGCGCTGACTGCGGATGAAGCAGCCAATGCTGCAGATGTGGAAAATCGCTTCCGAAAAAGGACTCACTCCGCGGGCACGTCCCCCACCATTTCCCACCAGAAGACCCCGTCCCAGTCCTCCGTGGCGTCCATTGAGGAGTATACAGAGATGATGCCCGCCTACCCACCAGGAGGGGGCGGTGGAGGCCGACTGCCTGGCTACCGGCACTCTGCCTTCGTGCCCACGCACTCCTACCCGGAGGAGGGTCTGGAAATGCATCCCTTGGAGCGGCGTGGGGGCCACCACCGCCCAGACACCTCCACCCTCCATACCGATGATGGCTACATGCCCATGTCCCCAGGGGTGGCCCCAGTGCCCAGCAACCGGAAGGGCAGTGGGGACTACATGCCCATGAGTCCCAAAAGCGTGTCTGCCCCACAGCAGATCATCAACCCCATCAGACGCCATCCCCAGAGAGTAGACCCCAATGGCTACATGATGATGTCCCCAAGCGGCAGCTGCTCCCCTGACATTGGAGGTGGGCCCAGCAGCAGCAGCACTGCCCCTTCCGGGAGCAGCTATGGGAAGCTGTGGACAAATGGGGTAGGGGGCCACCATTCTCACCCCTTGCCTCACCCCAAACAACCCGTGGAAAGCAGTGGTGGCAAACTCTTGCCTTGCACAGGTGACTATATGAACATGTCACCGGTGGGGGACTCCAACACCAGCAGCCCCTCTGACTGTTACTATGGCCCCGAGGACCCCCAGCACAAGCCGGTCCTCTCCTATTACTCATTGCCAAGGTCCTTTAAGCACACCCAGCGCCCAGGGGAGCCAGAGGAGAGTGCCCGCCACCAGCACGCCCGACTTTCCTCCAGCTCTGGTCGTCTTCTCTATGCTGCAGCCGCGGAAGATTCTTCCTCCTCCACCAGCAGTGATAGCCTGGGAGGGGGATACTGTGGGCCTCGGCAGGAGCCTGGCCACCCGCATCTCCACCATCAGGTTCTGCAACCCCATCTGCCTCGAAAGGTGGACACGGCCGCCCAGACCAACAGCCGCCTGGCTCGGCCCACAAGGCTGTCTCTGGGGGATCCCAAGGCCAGCACCTTACCGCGGGCCCGCGAGCAGCCACAGCAGCCCCTGCTGCACCCTCCGGAGCCCAAAAGCCCAGGGGAATATGTGAATATTGAATTTGGGAGTGACCAGCCTGGCTACTTATCTGGCCCCGTGGCTTCGCACAGCTCGCCTTCTGTCAGGTGTCCAGCCCAGCTCCAGCCAGCCCCCAGAGAGGAAGAGACTGGTGCTGAGGAGTACATGAACATGGATCTGGGGCCAGGCCGGAGGGTGGCCTGGCAGGAGAGCACTGGGGTGGAGATGGGCAGAGTGGGCCCTGCGCCTCCTGGGACTGTGAGCATGTGCAGACCCACGAGGGCCGTGCCCAGCAGCCGGACTGATTACATGACCATGCAGATGGGCTGTTCCCGCCAGAGCTACGTGGACACCTCACCTGTCGCCCCTGTCAGCTATGCCGACATGCGGACGGGCATTGCTGCAGAGGACGTGAGCCTTCCGGGGGCCACAGCGGCTGCTCCCTCCTCATCCCCGGCAGCCTCTGCCTCCCCTTCTGCACCTCAAGGAGCAGCTGAGCTGGCTGCCTGCCCTTCCCTGCTGGGGGCCCCGCAGGGACCTGGAGGCGTGAGCGCCTTCACCCGGGTGAGCCTCAGCCCCAACCGCAACCAGAGTGCCAAAGTTATCCGTGCGGACCCGCAAGGGTGCCGGAGGAGGCATAGCTCCGAGACCTTCTCCTCAACACCCAGTGCCACCCGGGCAGGCAACGCCGTGCCCTTCGGAGGAGGAGCTGGGGCTGGGGCTGGGGGCAGCAGCGGTGCTAGCAGCAGCAGCAGTGAGGATGTGAAACGCCACAGTTCTGCTTCCTTTGAGAACGTGTGGCTGAGGCCTGGGGAGCTCGGGGGAACCCCCAAGGAGCCAGCCCAGGTGTGTGGGGCTGCTGGGGGCTTCGAGAATGGTCTTAACTACATAGACCTGGATTTGGTCAAGGACTTTAAACAGCGCCCTCAGGAGCGCCCCCCTCCGCCGCAGCCCCCTCCACCGCCGCCCCCTCATCAGCCCCTTGGCAGCAGCGAGAGCAGCTCGCCCAGCCGCTCCAGCGAGGATTTAAGCGCCTATGCCAGCATCAGTTTCCAGAAGCATCCAGAGGACCTCCAGTAGCTCAAGTGGACATCACAGCAGGTGCGTTTCCTGGTGAGAAAGTCCGGAGACAAAACTGCTTTTGTCCTGGTGCTTGAATCCTGATCCTTTTCCTCTGCTCCTTCCCTCTCCTCCCACTGCTTCCTTAGGGAGTGCTCTCCCAGGGGAAGCAGGAGGAAGGTCTGGGCACACATGATGCCCCCCCACCCCCACCTGGCAGGAAGTCAGAGAAGGTGTGGAGGAAGCCACAGAAGGGCATTTTCAGTGCAGAGTCCCCAAGTACTTACTCTCCTATTTTTAAAACTCACATTCCGCAGTACCAATTCTAAGATTTGTGAAGTTCAGGTAGAAGAACCTTGACCTGTTTATTGAGGTTTTCTGTTGACTCTGTGTTTAGGTCAGTCCTTGGAAGGGACAATCCCTTCTACACAAAATCTTTGTTAAAACAGGGGCTAGATCCTTCCTTTAAAATAGTTCCTCAGCACTCTTAAGCTGAGGGTGATCTTATCAAGTTGCTCTGTGTACTTTTGTTCTGTTATTTCATAACACCAAGGCAACATAAACAGCAGCCGAGGGAAACATCAGGTTATATTCACGCTGCCCTAAAAACGATTTCACGACTAAGAGCTTGTTTAGGCTTAAAGGTTTAGAGAGAAATGCCTATCTAGCTATGAATGGATCTAGAAGGTAATTAGGGGTGACATTTTCTCTTTGTTCCTGAACCAATATTCCTGAAATATTATTCACACACGGACCCACCTTCTCACAGCCATGGTTGATTTATACAGGCTATGTAGTGAACTGCAGGCGCCTGGGACCCATTATTGGTTAAGAGTTATGGAAGTTCATCCCAGAGTGTCCGCCTGCTCTTGCAAAAAACCCACCCAGAGACATCACACTGTCCTTTGGGGGCTACTGTATATCTTCTGTAAAATTACTTAACATTTTCATGTTGAAAAGAAGTATTAAGTCAGGGAAATGAAGCATTTTTGTTTTTTGGCTTTTTTTTTTTTTTTTTGCATTGAATCTAAGAGTTAAATCTTGTACCCTTTAGTTTTAGGATATTTGTCGTTCGCCTTTAAGTTTAAGAGTCTATGCCTCAGTAAATGTTGAAAGTTGGCTTTAGGTCTTCTGTGGCTAAGGCTGTATTGAAAATGAAAAACATTTGTAATAGGAAATTAGCCTGCCTTTCTTTCTGTTGAGCCTATTTTCTGGTGGTCATAATTGTGGGTAGAAAAGAGGAGTGTAGTTCACAAATAATGTGATGACTTGGCAACGCAGAAGTTTCCAGCATTTGGAAACACTTTATTCTGACAAACTGATTATCTTGTGACTGTCTTTTTATATATGCTTCAAAGAATGAGCTTTAACAAGCATTTCTTCTTCTTAATATGCATTCATTCATAAGAAATTGATTTTTGCATTGGGCTGCTATTGATAGGCATTTATTCGTTTATTATGTGGTCACAGTCTCCTCGATTCTAACAATTTCCAGTATTTGACCCATGTATTCACTGTTTTGGTATACAAACATTCAAACAAAGATTTTAGGTGATATGAAAAGCATTTATTTGATCAGTATTTATTTCAACATTTGTCAGTATCAACAGCACAAATTTTGGTTATTTCAGATGATGTTTGTGGGAGTATGAATCCTTGTAACACTTTAACCAGTTATATTGTATATTGCTGCATTTACAAAGTAATGAGAATTTGAGGGGAAAAAAATCAGAACTAAAATTTTGATTTTTAAAGAAGATGAAAGAAGAGGCTAAGAAACAGTAACTTTTCCTCACCTGTGTTCTTAATTTGAACAAGTCTCTTTTTATTGACCAGAATAGATAATACATGCTGGGATAAAATTGATGACCAAATAGAATTTTCATTTCTAAAATGGGCTTTATAAATAAAATCTTCCTTATATGGAAAAAACAAAACGAAAACCTTCTATTCTAAGCTTTGTTAAGAAACATATAATATTCTGCAATAATCATATAATCCTATTCCTAAAACAATCTTGGAGTAGCAATAGACCATATTTTGACCACATCGTGCCAGAAAAATTCTACATGTGTATTTGCAGGATGTAAATGGACAAAGAGATAGAGATTGTGTGTGTGTGTGTGTGTGTGTGTTTGAAGTGGGACACCCAGTGCCACCAGCATATTTACATCCTGAATTCTGCTAGCTTGCCTTTGCCCTGTGGAGTTTAAAGATGTGATTTTGATAGTCAGTTATCGTCTCAAACAGAAATGAGACCTGTCGGCGGCAAACAGCTTCTCCTAGGAATGAGTATGTTTGTGAAAACAGTTTTCCTAACTTCTCCTCAACTGCTGTCTTTTCCTGTCTTTCCCATTTCTCAGGTAAAACAAAACTTGGTTAAAGGAAATGAGACACTATGAGGGGTGTGTTCTTTCTCCCAGTTCCTCACTGCAGACTCTTCGCCTGGTTTAACATTTCCCTGTCTAGAGAAGGAGATCATCTGTGGAGCGTTTAGCTCAGGTGCTCCAGGCTATTTGGTGGCCTTTCTGCTTTTACTTCCTACCCAACAATCTGTTTCTCTTCTCTTGTCAATCTCTGTGCCTTCTAACTTGGTTCAGATCTGCTAGATTGGTTTTCAGCACTCCCCCCACCCCGCCCCGCGCACCGCATTCTTTTGTTTCACCTCTTATTTCATGTTCCTGGCGTTGTCCTTTTTTTTTTGTCCTTTCAGAATTTCGCAGTACCGGTGGCCTACTCTGCAGGCTCGAGAGGGTGAATACCTCGTCCGACTCAGTTTTAGCAGCCCCGCTACGCTACATTTAACCAGCATTCACCTCCGAATCATCTTTCAGTTTTGAGATTAGACTCCAGCCATCCCTTTTGGCTTCAGTTTTTTCGTTTTTCATTCTTTGCTACTTCCCCTCTCCCCTCCCAAAACAAGGATTTGACCATTTCTCATCCTTTCACTGTTTCCTCTTTGTGATTTCAAGGATTCTGTGTCTTCACGACTGCCCCCCTCCCTCCTCCCTCATTTCGCTTCCCCTTGCTGTGTGGCCTTTTTGTCTGGCCCGAACCCCCTCGGCCCGGGCACTTTCCCTATTCCCGGGGAAACTCCGCTTCCTGCATTTCTCCCTCTTTATTTGGCCCAGGGCTCCCCTCCCTCCTCCTAGCCCCCTTTCGCTGGGGGCGGGGGAATCTGCTGTGAGGCTTCCCTCACGTCTTGCACCCCCGCCGCGACCATCTGGGGCACCCCTGGGCGGCCGAGCCTTCAGGGCCACGTGGTCACTAGCGGCAGCAGAGCCTTGGTCCCGCGGGCTGTGTGCCTGGGCCTGGGCCGGGCTGGAAGAGCAGTCCTGTGTTGATTGGTCCCCGCCAGAGCCAATCAGCGCGACTCTCATGCGAGCTGCCGCGGCTGCGGGGCGGGGCCTCGGTTTGGGCCCTGGGGCTCTCATGTCCCCGACGCCAGGGGATCGGGGGTTCCGGGGTCGCCCGCTCTTCCCAGAGCCAGAAGACGGAGCTAAATAAGAACCCCACCCTCCCCACCCAGAGGATGTTATTGGTGCATCAAGACCGGAATCCTAAGAATGAGAAAGTCCAAGCAGCCCACTGACTGAGGCCGGAAACACAAGCTTCCTCTTATCTTTAATTGAGAAAAATCCAGGCCCTGGCCATGTGATGCGCCCCGTTTTGTCTCCCTCTCCCCTTTACTATGGTTTACTACAAAGCCATGTTCCTTCGTTTTCATGCCTTGAAATTCACGAGTAGGAGGGAGGTACAGCAGGCGCTTGTAGTTGTAGGATTGATTGGGCTGGCTCAGAATTCCTATCTCTTACTAATGGGACTGAGGGAAAAAAAAAAAAAGGAAATTCAGGTGCTGTGGCTCACTGGGGATCTTTCAGAAAAAGAAAAGAAAAAAACCTCATTTGGTTTAAGATTGTATGGGGCTCAACCCTTTATTGAGCGCCTGCAGTTTGCAGACCACTGTGCTAGGTGATTCCGGAAACCTTGGTGGCGTAGTGGTTAAGAGCTACGCCTGCTAACCTTTTTTAACCAAAACGTCAGCAGTTGCAGTCCACCAGGAGTTCCTTGGAAACTCTATGGGGCAGTTCTACTGTGTCCTGTAGGGTCATTATGAGTCGGAATCGACTCAATAGCAATGGGTTTTTTGGTGCTAGGTAAGATGAACAAGAACTGACCCTTCCAAATCAGGAGACTGTAGGGATTCATGACAAGGGCTTAGGTAGGGTTCCTTAGTGAGGTTTGGTAGAAATGTTGCTTGTGTTCAAGTGAAGAGCCCATCAGGGCAGACTGGGCGAACTGATTCTGAAAGCTTTCTAGATTTGTGCTGTATATAACCAAACATATGTGAGTCATGTTACTATATGGGATGGAAAATTTGTTTGCAGTTGTCCTTTGTAAAATAAAGAAAGAAAATAAGGAGAAATGCTATAGAAGTATTTCTTCTTCCTCCCTCCCACTCAAGTACTTCTCACCAGCCAGTATCTCTGTTGCTTCACTGAATCTTAATTAAGCCCCAACCCATTGCTGTTGAGTGGATTCCAGCTCACAGCGGCAGGGCTTTTCCTTACGTGCCTATGGAGGCATCTGAGGGGAAAACGTATGGTAAAGGTACTGTCCCTGTGTAAGAAATGCTTGTGAGCAGCACTGCCTCTGAATAGTGGGCGAGTTTCTCTCTTCTTCCAGAAAACTTTGAGATCTAATAATCTTAATTTCTGCCACTGTTTAGGTAGCTTTTGTATGTTAAAGGAAAAGTAAATCCATTAAAAAGTCCTACATATTGTATTCATTTATCTGAATAAATGATTGCCCCCAAATAAATCATATCTGTAGTATTGTTTTATACAATAAGGGACTTGTAATCCAAAAGGGCAAGTCACTTTTTTTTTGTTGTTTGTTTATCAGAATTCCTGGAAAATAGCTTTATGCTATCTCAAATGATGCAATGGAAAAAAGCAGCTCCTTGGGTTCTCGCACAGCTCGTGCCCTTTGCTTGTTGAGTGACCTTGGGCAAGTCGCTTCATTTCCCTGAGCCTATTTCC